GACTTTTTAAATAGTAAGAATCTAGATTTAAACATGTTTGTTGTTAGAAATGGGAAAGAAGGTAAAGCAAAAAAAAAAAACTACAACAAATAAATAAATAAATACATGAAACCGCAGCGTCAACCCAAAGTAAAGTACTGACAACCGGAGCACGAGGGGCTTACCTGCCGGTTTGTCCGCCGTGCTGTCGGAGCCCCCGGTTGACATGCCTGCGGACTGGAGCCGGTGCTTCCGGTGAAGGCTACCGAGAGCCGCCGCGCATGTTGAGACACCAGCTGTTGTGGTGTAATGCATAAAAGAGACGGTGGGAAGGAGGGAGCTTCAAATAGCCGGGGTGTTGTATAATTGACTTCATTTTTTCAGCCCCCCCACCCCTCCCCTCCATAACCCTCCTTCCTCTCCTCCTCCTCCTCTTCGCGTCGTTCTTTTTTTCTTCTTTACACAGAACGATGTCAGAGGAGTGGAGAGGGGAGGGGTGGGAGCAGAAACGTGAGGGATGTGTGAGAGAGGAACACCCTCAATAGTGGACGGGGAAAGGAGGAGAGAGAGTTCACGCCAGTCTGATCCTCCATTAGCTACCTATAGGGTTCATTCAGGTCCACAGTGGAAAAAGCTGCAACGTTCTGAGGGTATTTAAATATTTTTTTCCAAATGCAGTTTAATAGAGCCCGTCACTGACTGCCAGTAGTTATTACTGGCAGTCAGCTTACCCATACAGTAGTTATTACTGTATGGGTAAGCTGAACAAAATACAACTCTTGTCTGCAGTTTGGTGAGACAGGTAACAATCCGTTTGAAGGGCAGTTAAATGGCCGGACAGGAAGCGTGCAGCGAGCGCGCGGCGGTGCTGATAAATTCATTTTTGATTCATGCCGAACAGAGCCCAGTCATTCACTCTTCTGCTTCCCGTACACGTCGCACACGTTTCTGTGACCTCAATAAGAGCCCCGAGCGCGTCACCCATCTGACGCCGCTGCCAGCTTTCGCATTGCTCCCATCGGAGGTCTCACTCTGTTTCTTTTTCCAAATCAATTTTCATGCCCAAAAAATTATATACTATAAATCATGTTTTGTTTAGTTGTTGTTGATTGTTTAATCAAATTTAACCGTTCATATCTCGGGCCATTTAAGATTGTGAAAATATTTTTATTTTTACTGAATGGCGGTGTAATGACAGAAAGAATTTTTACATAAAAATCTGAATTCTGAAATCTGATTTTCCGTGGGCCTAATCCTCTTCCTTGATGAGGCGATGACGTGCCAGGGTATCTTCTTCTTCTTCTTCTTTTTTTTTTTTGGTTAGAAATGTGCAACACACCCTGCATAATAAAAGAAAAAAAATGCAAAGACTCTCGCCGAAGGTCTTTCATATGCTTAAAGGCCACTTGTAGAGGAAGACCTAGTTTTTTCAGAACCAACATATGAAGCTGGAGTGCACTACATTTTATTCAAGTTAAACTGTTGTGCAGATTATCCACCCAAATGTTAGGGTCCATTTGATGATCCATTGCAACAGTTTTAATTATTTAATGATGGATTATTGCACATTTTATCTAAATAGATTCTGCAATAACTTTAACATAATTGATTCAACTTTTAATTCACCATCTATATTTGCAATACTGCACTTAAGTATGTTTTCACTGCTTTTCAAACACTGACACATTATGTATTTATTTATTTATTTCACATATTTATATAAATATGTGAAATAAATGAATATTCAAATGAATGAATAAATTCATTTTTTGGATTATAATAACTTTCGCTTTCAATAGTTTCAACCTAAGACTTATTTTGAACAGATTCTAAAACAAATGCTAAACTGACTTTATGTTGACAATTCTAACAATACGAAGGAAAACGAGCAGACTGTCGTCGTGTGTTGCAGTGAAAACATTTACCTTAAGGAGTTTTGTAGGACAAAGGCTCGGGAATATATGTGAGAAGTGATAGGTCACGCTCGCATCGACGATCTTCGGCGCTCACCTACATAGCGTTATTTGAGACCTTTGCACGAGACTTTACGTAAGAAAGAAGGCTGCACGTGCCAGCGAGAAACGTGCTGACCTATATATTATATAACTCGAGGGTCACGTGGCGGCGGGAGGCTCGTTAACCCATTTAGAAAGAGTCCGTGGAGAAAGCGCGGCGATTCCACGCGCGTTTCAGAACACCGGCGTGGTCAGGTGATGCCGAAACAGACACATTACAAACATAATCTGGTGGTTCAGAGCAGCAACGCAAGGAGTCAGTGCCAGAATTTCTAATAATTTGACATATATAATAAATATTTGACTTATAATTACTATAAATCTGCCTGCCTACCTATTGAAATCATCAACATGATTTATGACTAAAGAGGGAAATGTTCTTGTATCTTTCCTCATGTCAGAGGAATGTTGCCCAGCAAATATTTCGGTGTGGTCATTTAATAACTGTTGATGATGTTTGCAACAGCAGCCAACAACTGGAAGGAAAATATAACTTCCAAGATCTGCAAAGTTCTTCACGTTTAATATTTAATGTTGCCCGGGAACAGTCAGCTGCTGTTTTGGAAAAGTTCCTTGCATGTAGAACCTTCATGGAATGTTCTCTGTGATTTACTGTGTTCCAAACTGAAAGTTACATTTAGCGACTACAATGTGACCTTTGAGGAACCTTTCAGGAATCTTCTCTCTGAAGTAACTTGAATGGAAGTTAAGCGACATTCGTGATGTTTCCCTCCAGGGAATGTTCAAAAGTTTCAGAAATAACCCTCAGGGATTAATTCCTAAATCAGAAAGGAAGTTAAGTGCAATATTCATTGTTTGATTTCCTTGTAGTCTTCAGGTAAAGTTCTTTGACAATTAGATTCAACATTTACAGGGACCTTTAGAGAACATTCCCTAGATGCCCCAAGAAGATTAGCTTCAACACGATATGACTTTCTGAGAACCTTCAGGGAACATTCCTCAAGGTTTCCAGAAGGCATTGGTAGAGTGACGCTCCCTAAAGGTTCTGTGATACCTTCAACTTTGACAGTGCAAAATCCCAAATGTGATATTTCAGGAACTTCTGAGAAACATTCCATGAAACGTTACTGAAGGTTAGTTTCAGCATTTACAATTTGACCTTTTCTAAATCTTCACAGAATATTCCCCAAAAGGTCCTTGAAACCTTGTTGCAACATTGCAGCTTGGGGATCTTTAGGCGACATTCTCCAAAGATAAATTGAGGGTAAATGTGAACTTTCACACCACACATAACCTCCATAAAGGATCTCTAAGACTCTTTAAAGATTAAGTTCCACTTTTACAACTGTATCCTTTGGGTAAATGACCTAAAGTTTCACAGAAGATTAGCTTTAAAATTCAGAGAGTTACCTTTTTACTGACTTCAAGGAATTTTAATTGGAGGCTATTGGTGATGTTCACAATGTGACACTTTGAGAACCTTCACAAAATGCTCCCTTATTGCCTCTTGAGTTCTGTGAGAACCAATGTCAAATATCATACTTTTTATGACCTTCAAAGAACCTTTACTAAAAGTTCCCTGAAGATTAACTATTCCACGATGTGGCTCTTTGGGAAACCTTGAAAAAAGTTCCTCAAAGCTTTCCTTGAATATTAAGAAAATGTTCTCTGAAGGTTCCTTGAAGTCCTGCTTTAAATATTTAGTGTTACTCTTTAGGAATTTTGCGGGGATATTTGGCTGAAGGTTCCAGAAGGCAACAATCATAGTATTGAAACCTGGAAACCTTCAGGGAAAGCTGAAAAGGCTCTATGAAGTCTGTTGTGACCTTTCATAAACTTTCATTCAAATGACCCTCAAGGAACTTTTGTTGCTTCCTGGAGATTACCTTTGATGTCCACAGTGACTCTTGGAAACCTCCAGGGATTGTTCTATAAAGGTTCTGTGAGGTCTAATGTCAACTTTTACTTCCACAAAATGACCTTCAGAAGACCTTTTATCAGTGTTCCTTAAAGGTTACTTCCATCTTTATGCATCTGATTTTCTCCACAGCTAAAATGAAAATTGGGTTCTACAGAATAAGACCATGACAACAGGGTCACGGCATGACGGCACTATCACTTCTTCCGTGAGGTAAGTTTTCGAGTGCGTAAGTAACCCGCTTGCTGTTGGCTTTCTGTTGTAACCTGATTTCTTGGTCCAAACCAGAAACCCAGTTTCCTTAATGGGGGTAAGGGATTAAGAGAAACCCGGTTAACTAGATTTGCAGGGTGGGATGGGACAGCGTGAATTCTTGGCTAATTCTTGACGTAACATATTGATGACTCACATGAAGGGGTTTTCTGAGTTTTCTTATAGCTGCCAGTTCACTACATATGGTAACCTGGGACACGGTGTCTTTTAAAGAACAAGAATTCTGTCTAGGAAAATATTTTTTATTACAACTGACTTCAAAATTCCACTATTTGTAAGATAAGTCACTTTGATTAATGATTATTCATGCTTGACTGGCATACTTTGATTTTGTAACTGAATCTCTACCATGCCTAGATTAAACTGTTTTTATCCATTCGTTAATTCAGAAGATCTTGACAAACAGAAAATGAAATAAAAGCTCGCCAAGAGCTCCCCCTAGTGGATCAACAAGGGGAAAGTAAAGAGTTTTGATTCTACATTGCCAAAACTTCATCTGCTACAGATTTAGTCTCATTTCATTTGATCTGCGCCTGTTTTCTGTTTATTATCATTGCTTAGGAGGTAGAAAAAGGTTCAAATTAAGTCTCAAGTAATTCATTTAGGACTTGAGTGTAAGAGAGGTATTTAAAGTTCGGAGAGATGACTGTAGACAAGACCAAGTTAAACCACATCACATCGTTGATCCCTGTCAACTAGAGTGAGTTTCTTTTAAGAGTTGAGAGGAAGTAGGAAAAGACTAACAACTGTATCAATTTGGACAGTGGTGTTTGTTACATGGTCTGTGGCAAACAAAAAAACAAAAACAAAAAAGGAATTTCCCAGAACAGTAAATACATCAAAAACTTCAAAAGTTTAATTATTTTAAATTTTATTATTTCTGAACAGTGTATCAACATAAAAAAAAAACAAACAAAAAAACTCAGCAACATGAGTGAATATATTAATGAGCATCTCCTTCTCTCATCTACAGACAGTATCCTTCCAAGTGCCTACTGGAGTATATACACATCATGACGCAGTTCTGAGCCGTGGAACCGGGGAATCTTCCTTCAACAGGGAGGGAAATACAAATCATTCACCTTTTCGGCCTTTATGTTGATTTTATCATATGATGTAGTTGCGTTCATTGTCTCTTGGCAAAACGAAACATACAGCATTACCCTTAATAATCTGCCAAAGACTCTTTGTTACTCGGCAGTAAACTGGTTTGGTCCATTGCAAATGAATTGTCTTGCTTGATAAATAAGAAACTTTTTCCTGAACCTTTTACTACCTCGTTGAAAAATCCCTTTAGTTAAAGTGACACCATAGTGGATTTCAAGTCAAGTGTGGCTGTATAAAGTGAAATATAGCACGTATCGCAACTATTCATCTACCTTTTATCTTCTTCATGATAAATAAAAACAAACACCGTCAACCCTAGCACAAAACAGACATTTAACACTAAACAGTGAGACACATCACCTCACAACACAAAAGGAGATCATCCACTTCATGAACAATTGTCCCTTTCCTAGTCAGTCTTCAAGTCATGTCACTATTTTTCCGGAGTTTTATGAAAGCAGTTTTTGTTTCTGAATTAGACACATCTGTCTAAAAAACTGACCAAGAGGTTTGAATTTTCTAATTTGAGATTGTTTCAGTAACGCTTAAAACCTTTTCTGTTGTTGATCAAAGGCAGTCTTGGAATTCATCACCCATTCTACTGAACAGCAACAACCCAATGTTGCTCTGGAGTCTGTAACTATGAACCAGTGACATCACTAAGCTCTGCACTGACACTTAAGTTTGAATAGAAATTCCCACAAATAGATTTTGTGGCATTTGAAAGACATGACCAGATGGAGAACACATTGGATGCCATGTCTAAGTTAATCAATTTCAACAAATAATTAGACCCCCCTGTCAGCGTACCTTCCTAGAAAACCAAAATAGTTTAAATATGTTGAGCCAATCCGTTTACGGTACTCTTGTTTCTTCACTCGTGCAGTAGTAAGAATTTGAATGGCAGGACTATTTCTTTAAACATGAAACAGAGTGGCAATGGAAGAAAAAGTCATGTTTCGAAAGGTTATGCAATGATTTTGATATCAGATCAAAGAGTTGGTTCCGTGGCACCATTGGGTGTAGGTACAAGCAGTCATCAAGTCCAAAACATGGCCAATGTCTTCACTGGCAAGTCAACCCAAGATTCAAGAGGTAAGCACTGGGTTGGACTTGATGTCCAAGGTGATCCAACACATGTCCATTTTATGGAGGCCTAGCTAGGACCTCATCATGACAGGTTTGTCAAACTCTAACCCTCTATGGCCTGATGTCCTGCAACATCTAGATGTGTCCCAGGTCCAACACAACTGAATCAAATAGCTTAATTACGTCCTCAGCATATCGTCAAGTTCTAGTGTAGAGGGTGACATCTTAGGAAAGACAAGCAGGAGAATGTTGTTCCTGTCTGGTTCCATCAAAACATTACCAGAGAAAACCTTAAGTTATGCCCTTTTGACCTCCAAACCCCACATTTATGGTGTTGTGGTCCATCTTGAATGTTTGGAACCTTAACAAAGAGTGTGGTGGCCCTTGAGTGTCCAACACTCTCAATTTAGGACTACTGTGTGGTATTGCTGGGAACATGCACATCAAAACCACCTGCTTCGAAGCAAACACCCAACGCAACCTCCAATCAATTGCCTGCACGAAGCACTCATTGTGTCTGGTGACCTTCCTCCACTGTTCTAGATTGTTGGATGCGCCAGCAACTGCCTGGTAAATAGATTCAGCTCTGTCCTGCTGAATCCACCACTCCTTACCAATCACATCATCTACATACCAATTTACGTTTTTTGTCGCTGACTAGAAAAAAAAGGGCTTGCAAACCTTATTACCCATAAGAGACGTCCATAGACGTGCATAGGATTCTGAACTTTTTTTCTGTTTGTTGTTTACATCAGTGGGAGCGATTTCACATAAAACACAGCCAATTAAAATACAGTGAATGTCTGCAAAAAGAAAAAGCCAATTTATACATAAAAAAAAACGAGCAGCATAAATAGCACAAAAATATACAGATATCTGCCTCTAAAACCCTCATCAGTCCAACGTTTTGTAGCATTTTCGAGAGAAGTCGGCCAAGGCAATTGTAGCTCAACAAATAAATTACTTACATGGAAAATATAAGAAGAGAACTACTTTTATAGCAGAGGCCTTCAGAAATAGCTAACATAGGGATTCCTGGAAATCTTCTGTACACCTCCTGATTATACATTTACTCTTAGAACTCTTAGCGGACATCTCAGAAATATCACTGTCCACACACACATTTTGCTTTAGAAGCTTAGATCTAGTAAATGGAAATGACTTCCTTTTCAAAAGTAGTTTTCTGTTAAGTGCAGAATAAGCGATGGCTACATTCGAACCACGGCATGTGATGATTAGAGTTCTTTGGTAACTCCGTAGTCTCCCCTTCTGAGACTTCATGGTTAAAGACTGACTTTACGAGGAGCGCTTTGTTCGTTTGGGTGCTTGTTAGAGGGAGCAAAAAACAAAAAGTGTTAAAACGCATCCTGCGATGGGCATAAAATTAAAAACTCCAAACCTAGAGGGATCACTCTTATGCAACTTAACCTTAACCAACTTTATTGGTTAAAGACTCTCCTGTTTTATTATTTTGTCCATAAAAACCTGCCTTTGTATTATCACAACCCTCATAAATCACCTAAAAGACACCAGCTTATATATTTTCTTTTTGTTATGCATGTAATTCAAGCTGCCCCTTTACTGTTCTCTCAAAATCAATCAGCTTTACTCTAGTCTAAGCTTAACAAATGCCTTCTAATTAATGTTTCCTAAACTACAGTGATACATCTAGCTACTTAAAAAGGCACTTTTGCATGTTTTTGTTGACTTAAGAAGCAAGAGGCTGGGCCTGCGACTCATTAAATTGACCGTTTTACATCTTGAAAGGACACAGAGCGATTTGGCAATGCCTCACACCGACAGATGCTAAGCAGAAGAATTACGAGTTCTGTCTTGTTGCTTTGCAGCGAGTTACACCTGCACTATGCCAGTGTCCCACCTTTATCAAGGAGGATTCCAGCAGGATTTTGGTGTTTGCTCATTCCTAAAATATTATACCCCGAGTGTGATGCTTGTACTTTTTTGATATCCATTCGCAGTTATTACACAACTTAAACAGTGGACGCTCAATTAAAGATAAAAAGGTGAAACTCACAATATATAGAGAACTCTAGATGTCTTCATTCTAAACCGATTGTGAGATTCTCATTAAAAACACTTTGATACCTACCGCTGCAAGAGCAGGCAGCGACAAACCGAACATCAATATCAAAATTGAAAAATGGAACTTGCTTCAGGTCGGAGCTATGAAACTCATCGGAAATCGTGCTGGAATTCTCCGTACAGCACAGCAGCATGTGTGCTTCAGTAGTTCTGATTCTCTCCGGTCAACCAGATTTTGAATACAGTGTTGAGAGCTTTTAAGCAGACATCAGTTTGCAGCTGTGTTAATGTAACCGCCAGTGTATCAACTATCAACGTGAGGATGCAGAAAGCAGGGATTCGTATTCAAGCCCCATTCCTGCTGTCAACCTTTAAGCTGAACATGCAGATATGCTTAATTAGTGCCCTAGTTAAAGAGCTGGCCCGAGAGCTATGGCTAGAGACTGCGCACGTGAAATATAAACAACCGAGGTAATGCGGCGATGCTCTGTCGTTTCCCAGCTCCTTCCAGTGGGGCGTTTTCTTGGCAGCAGAGCGGACCTAAATAACTTGTGATGATGGTTACGTTTAGGCCGAGGGGCCAACGGTGCGTCGCGGCACCGGCGTGGCCCGTCAGAACCGGCGGGGGCTCGGCGGCCCGACCCTGTGTCCGTTAAACGTCTCTGTGTTTGCTTTCCTGGAGCGTGTCAGGCCTTTCCTGCCTTCATGTACGTGGGGATGGTGCCTCGCTGAGTCAGGCCTTCGAATCGTTTGTAAGTGTAGTTCAGGAACACCCAGTCCTTTGATTTGAAGTCAGGCTCTGTTGCATTGGCTGTTCAAAACACAGAAAATTGATTCAATTGACTTAGCTAGCCTCGAGATAAAGATCTGATGTTGGAAAGAAGGAGTGATGTCTGGGTTGTATTCTGCAACTTCACCCGTAGATGTCACCAGATTTCCCACACTGTGCTTTTAAATTCACTTTGTTTTCAGTTAAATACTAGTTATATTTACAACAGAGGTGACCTCATGCATGTGTAAAGAGAGTTTTACTACAAAATAAAAAAAATAGGCTCTCATAACTGAAAAACATGAGACATTTGATATGACAAACCTGGCTGAAGGATGTCTGATTCAGGGAAGTCGTCAAAGTTTGAAGTGTCATCAATACTTTTGATTTCGATAGAAATGGCTGCCGGTCGCTCCCTGTGGACAGAGACAAAAGGTGTTATATATTCTGATGAAAGTTTAGTGTAAAGTGAGTCCGCGTTTAGAAAAGCCTGTTTGCTTGTACCTGATGTGTTCCCAGTCCACTGACTCAAAGAATGGATGACTCTTGATCTCCTCTACACTCACAGCTCCGATTCTGTTCTCCGCATCAGTGCAATACCTTCAGTAACACCCAACAGAAAGTTAAAAGTGAAAACAGAACTGAGAACTTGTAAAAAGACAGCACATCCAGTCTCGCGGTCTGATCTTCCCGTGAGATCGGAAGGTAGACAAGTCAATTTTTGAACCTTAAAATCAAGTCTTTGGCCTTCTCTGAGATGGGGACTTCAGGTGGGAAGACGAGCGTTTCCTTCCAGTTCATGACCTTCCTGTAGGTCTCCTGTGGCGTCTCCGAGCAGAAAGGCGGGTAACCTGCCAACGACCCCAATACGCAACAGACGGAAGAAACAATGGTGATGCCTCTGTACCATCTCCAGGGGTTTGAACTCCTACTTCAAGTCTTAGAGTGAGCTTAAACGTTAAACGTATCTATCCAACAACACCGAGAATGATCTGTTCTTACCGATGAGCATTTCATACATGATGACACCCAGAGACCACCAATCACAGAGCTTGTTGTACCCTGTCTGCATGAACACTTCAGGAGCGATATAGTCCGGCGTCCCCACAGTGGAATAAGCCTATAAGAGAGCAGCAACATTCAAATCTCAGCTTTCTAAATGGAAGATATGAAAATCACGTCTAAAGCAGGGAATAGATCGATCTGGTTCACTCCCTTTAAGTTTGTTGTATTGATTAAACAGACCAAACCTTTCTTGTTTAAACTTAGTCAGAATTACAAAGATTATTTTTATATGCTAAATGCCAGAAACCTCGGTGAGAATAGATTTTAGAAATGTTTTTGTAACTTTCCTCGAATTCAAAAGTTTTTTTATCATCAGTATCATTGGTATCCGTTGCTTAAAAATTTATGACTTGGGACGTTACAAAGACAAATTCTAAAAAACAGTTCTCGCCATATTTTCAGGGATCTAGGAATTAGAAAAAAATTGGTAATAAAACAAGAAAAGTTTGGTCTAACTCCAGACAATGAGAAAAAAAATGTGTCTTTTTATTCGGTGTATGTAAATATCTGGTTTGAAATGCACAGATAACATAGAAAAGTGTAGGCCATGCTCAGATGACGGCGATTTTAAATTAACTCCATCTGGAAAAGAACTGATCAAATTTGACATTTGCACATGAGTGCATGAAAAGGCCAAAACTACACCTGAGCTACAGTCTAAACAGGATCCGTACCAGCTGTCTCCTGTTCTTCTTCCAGGTTTCTGCTTTCCTCTTTGAGTTCATGTTCTGGAAAGCTGAAAAAAACACAGAACAAAGAAGAGAAGCATTGTATGAAACAAAATAGAACAATCTCAATTCCATTCTGCTGCTTTTATTGCTATTTGGTTCAATCTACTTATGACGGATATGCGGCTCACAGAAATCACTGGGTGGGTTGTGCGTCAGGTTCCTGTAAAACTCCGTGCGATGAGCCTTCTTCAGTCCGGTGCACAGCCCAAAGTCAGACAACTTCACGTGACCCTGGACGCAAATGGACATTGAGTGACACTACGAGCCTCAAACCGTACGACTCTGGAGTCATTTGAGGGTCATATGGGCTTGGTTCTGACCCTGGAGTCCAGTAGCAGGTTGTCAGGTTTGATGTCTCTGTGGATGAAGCCCAGCTGGTGGATGGAGTCGATGGCCAGGACCGTCTCAGCGATGTAGAACTGCGTGGCCTCCTCCGACAGGGTGTCCTTCTTCATGAGCAGCGTCATCATGTCGCCTGGCAACAGAAGGGCAAGAGATGTTTCTCGCTTGTCGAACATCATCGGATGCTGTGTAGGGGGGTAAGCACCTCCAGGCAGGAACTCCATGATGAGGTAGAGGTTCCTCTTGTCCTGGAAGCTGTAGAACATCTTGACCACCCAGGCGCTGTCCGCCTCCACCAGGATGTCCCTCTCCGCGCGGATATGAGCCACCTGCAGCCGACCATGAACTTGAGAACACAGCAGAGTGTAATTTTGCATTTAGAATGGCAGAACAAGGAGTCACCTGCTCTTTCTCCAGCATGTCTGCTTTCCTCAGGATCTTCATGGCATAAATGTGTCCTGTGTCCTTCTTCTGCACCAAACGGACCTAGACGAAGAGAAAGTTTTCGTTTATTTAAATGTATCAATAAGTCATTCAAGTTTATTTGTTCAAAGGGAAAAAAAAAAAAACATCAACTAGTCAATAGTTGTGACAACCAGTAGACATTATTTTTTATGTCAAGTCACTTGATCAAGTGCCATCTGGTTTCTCAATTGGTGACTGTATGATGTTTTTATGACCATTTTTGTGCTTTTATGATGGAAGGCACTTGTTGCTGAAATGTGCTATACAAATGAACTTTATGTCATTGATAGATATTGACCTACCTCTCCGAAAGCTCCCCTTCCAATAACCTTGAGAGACTCGAAGTCGTCCAAGCCGAGCCGCGTCCTCTTCAGACGCAGAAACTCTGTCTCCTTACGGGCGTGTTGCGAGCGCCGCATCACTTTCTGCAATGGAACAGAGACGCCGAGTTGCCCGACTGACTTCAAATATTACAATTATGAATTTCTTCGGTGGTTTCATGTTTGTATAGTGCCTAACTAAAGTATTCCAGCCCCTTGGTCATCTTTCCCATCTATTCAGTTAATCTACAGCTGAATTTATATAAAATGTAGGGAAGCAGTTGATTGTGCTGGATTTCATTTAGGGACATTAGATTATTAGAAGGCTGAATGTAACAGATTTGCATTTGTGGAAAATTCTGAGCTATTATAAGTTGGAATGTCACATAAAATCTCAATAAATCTATTGAAATTTGTGAATCTAATGTAAAAGAACATGAAAAAATTGGATTTGTACCTCCTCATCAGGCAAACCCTCCTCCTCCATGGCCTTCTCTAGCTTCTTCTGCCTAAAATGAGGAAGACGCCACATAAAACAGGTCATTCAAAGCATAAAGCTCACAGTAAACACGCATGATAAAACATCTCCAGTTTCTAGTTTCCTCCAAATAAGCTTGTGAGTGTAACTGTTGGAGTGGAAGCTTCCAGAGAGCGATTTATTCGACAAAGGAGGTGTAGGGTGTTGGTGTAAACAGAGACTCGTGTGTCTCCTACAGGAGTTCCCTGAGCAACAGGTCAACCCTCAGGTAACAGGAGAGTGACAGGCGTTTGTTTTGTTCACACCGTCTCGGGGACTGTTGCCTTATCTACGAGCCCAAGCGGTGAAACTCAACGCTGTAAACAACAGCTCCATCTAGGCTTGGAGACTCTCCCGTCGGCCGGTAACGGGGCTTACCTCATCTCCCGCTCCTCGTGCTGCGTGAGCAGGGTGCTGTAGAAGTTCTCCAGTGTCAGCTTGGCCACGGTCACCCTCTCCCGGGTGTGGTTGCTCATGGGAAGGGCAGCTGCCGTCCCTCCCGTCATGGCCATGCTATCCTGGTGGACAACAAAACCACAAACAGATGAGTTGAGGAGGAAGCAGGTCACCATTTGAATGGAACGGTTTTAAGTTTTGGCAGGTTATCACGAGAACAGGTTAGGGCACTTGCTTGCACGGGATTATAGCATAGAGGTGTTTAAGCTACTTTCACACAGCACGTCTTGATGCTGACTGTTCATACTGCTAGTTAAATATGCAGAAGAAGAACGGTGATGTCACACAACATTGCATTGTATACGGAAGCGATAATATATAGAACCGTTCATGGAACGATTTTAAATTTTATTCAGCAGTGGGAGCCGACAAGATTGTCCCACGATCATAACAAGATGAAGGAAGCTGACGAAAAGAAAGTAAGACTAATATCGATGCCGTTTGTGGAGAATTTACAGCAATTTCTGGAGGCTAGTCTATTGGGACGTGTATTCAGAGCCAAGAGTGGTGGGACTGTGATGTGATGCGCTTCACTGACACAGACTTCTGTCAGAATTTCATAACCATAACCTTCTGAATTATGACGTACTGTACGTCACACATTGATGACATAAAAGCCAGATAAAATGCGACATGTCCGTTCAGGCAGCACTGTTCTCCCTCCACAATAAACAGATAGGCTCCTGTCCACCCAAAATGATGTCTGCACATAAACGCCTATCTGGAGGTTTCATCATCTGCTAAAGATGTATTATTAATATTCTAATAAGAGAGTTATTTGTCAGCTACCAAAGAGGCCACCACATTAAAGCGCTAATAAGCCTATTTTGGCTGATACATGGCAGCTATGAAAGAAATTTATGATCTTGGTTCTAGGAGAAATGGACCCAGCAGAAAGAAACCATAAGCATCATAGCTCTATAGTGGCAGTATTATTATTATCATACTTCTATGTATCTATATTATGTGTATCCAACTGGTAAACTATATAAATGCTATGGGAATCGTTTTTGTTTTGTTTTTTTCAGATTCTATTTCGTATCTCGCTAAAATGTCCCAGTGAGCCACGAAATGGAAAGTCACATGCTGGACGGCTCACGGCCCGTAGGGTTTCATTTCAGGAGCGCGCATTTGAAGGTTTGAATAGAGTGGAGTCTTTCAACTTTAATGGTCTTCGTTTAAACTGGGCATGTCTAAAAATAAATATATAAATAAATGAAAAAAACGGCAACACATCTGACAGCCAAATGATTCCCATTCCCCTTCAAGTTCAGGGAAAAAGTTTTGATGATAATATCACCTGAGTATTGAGGAAAAAATGGTGAACAAACCACAAACAGACATGCTAATCAAACAGATCTTGATAAATCTATTGGGAAAACATTCAGTTGAGAGGATGGTAATATCATGATGTGGCCATCCGATACATCAGTACGGACAATATTTACACGAGAAACTGATCGTATCTTTCTTACATCAGCATCAGCAGGTGAGGCTTTTTCAAATGTCAGTGAAAAAGAAAAGTGGAATCGGTGCATCCCTGCTCTGAAAGGGTCGCGATGATGAATGGCCACAGAAATTATTGCGATAATGATATCGTTGGCTTGAGACCATTTTCAACTAATGTGTTGATAATAGCATAACGGTGCAAGTCCACCCTCTCAAAGATGAATACAGAACAGGACGACATTTGAAATACATATAAAAAAAATTGCCATAAAGAATAATTAAATAAAAATTAGCCTTAAAAATGAATAATCAGAATTTAAAATTAGCTCCTTTTTTTTGCTACAGTAAAAAAATAAACATATATATAATCATTAATAATCAGTTTTTTGCATTATTTTTGCAGCAGCATAAATAATTGCTGCGTTTCTATTTTGCATAAATTAAAAAGAAAGTCTTACCCCAACTCGAAGACTGCTTAAAAGACAAATAAGGAAATAAGTTGAATTTTCCCCCTCTTTAAGGAGCTGAATATTGATGAGAGCAGATTATGCAAACGTTACGTAAGAGAAGGAAAAAGGGACAAGGGTGGACGTGTATATCACTAAAACATTTGGCAGCCCGCCATCCGAAAGGCATGAATGGGTTAGATTAGCTCACAAAGACATTAAACAAGCCCTGCGGGACAGAGATAGGAGCCGTGTTTCGTCTATTCCCCCGGCCCTTTTCCCGTTTTGGCCCCGACGGTCCCACAACAACAGGACGCTTCCTGACTTCTGAGGGAAAAACCTCTGAATCATTGCTGTAAAGTCCCTGATTTGGAAGGGGAGGAAAAATGGGCTGAGGGTTTATTTAGGTTCGTCAACCTGGGTTACTGTAAGAAAGGAGCACAGCCCAACACTACTTCTTCCTTGTGTTAGGTTGTCAGCATACAAGAAGAATAACTAAAATCTTGCTGCTTTGATTGGATGCTGGTGACTGAGGGAGGTGAGTGGTAGAGCGCAGGCCTCAGAGGGGAGTGGAGCGATGAGGCCCACATCTAATGCACAGCAGAGGGGACAAAGCTGGCAGGAAAGGTGCAAAATGCAACCATTTAGGGTCCGACAGGGAAGCTGTGGCGTAACCGCCGATGCTTGGCTTTTCTCTGCTGTCTGGCTCAGTCAGCATCCAATTCCTTCATCCAATTCTGACACCCTTTACATTTTCTAAATATAACAAAAATGAAATATTACAAACTGCTTACTGTGCAACAAATATTGGTGTTTTTGGAACTGAATCATTTTCAGTTTGGTCAGCCGTCGCTCGAGACCGGCCGGTAAGAAACTGAAAAATCTGATACTTTGCAAATCATAACAGAGGTTTTGGTCCGAGACAATGCCTGTTTCCATCTGTCGATTGGGAATGAAGAAGGTATCTTCAACACATCAACGGGGGGTGATACGAAATACCAACAGAGAGAAGAAGCAAGATGGCGGCTGTCCTGCTTGCCTCTGCGGCCCCTGTTTGCCATCGTGATCATTTTTAATACACAACACGGGTTCAAAGTCACGTTTGGGAAGTTGGACGGGTTCTGGAGGGGTGGAAGAGTGACAATTTTTTAAGTGGTAAGATGAAGGACAGAGATGGAAGGAGCCATTTGTAAACAAATTATTTTTTCTCGGACTTGTCAAGAGAGAGCAAGACTTTAAGCAAATAACAGGAAGGCTCAACATGCTACTCTTTTTATCAGTTTGGGAGTTTTACGCAAATCTAAGTTATAGTTAGGATATTTTTTTGTGAAAACAGAAAAAAGGCTTGTAGGGAATTACATAGTTGGACTTTTGATGAACTGTACAAAATGTATTCACTGCCAAGTTGGCAGGAACCTTAGTCATTGATATTGTTTATTAAATATCAGATATTATTTTTAGCATTACATGTTATAATTACAAATATGAATATGAATAACTAGTCTTAAACAAATCAGCTTTCTTTCTGGACACAATCCAGAACTGCAGGCTGAGACTTAAAAGCCTTCAGACCAGTTAAATATTACTTTACTACTCTGCTAATATTATACTTAGAAATCAATGTGCTGAAAAAGATACTTAAAATCATCCTTGTGTGACTACAAATGTAAAGGTGGTTTGTGTACCTGGTACTGTGTATCAACTTTTGCCAAAGTTATAAAATCCCTTAAACTGGAACAAATACTGAAAGCAACTGGATCCGCCACATAAATAAATAATGTAGATATATATATATAAAAATACAGTCTGCTAAAGACTGTATTTTAGCTGGATTTCTTGGGGTATTTTTCCAAAACAAATCAGGCAGCTAGTGTTTCAATACCTCAAATTGTGAGCCCCTCTGCATCGGAAGCCATGGCAGTGGGAACATTTCACCCCAGAGCTACCCTGTTTTTCCACGAGTCCGCCTACGACACTGTGAGCTGCTCACAGTTTTTCCTCATTAAGTGCATCTTGGCCGCACGCGCCAAATAAAGGCAGCTAGCGCGAGCGCATGAAGTGACATTTGGGAAAACCTTATGGCTTCTTTCCATTGAGGAGAAGCGGGCCGAGTACGTACCTCTCCCTCATTCAGGTTAGCAGCTTGTGTTTCAGACTGACATAATGAGGAAAGTGTAACAGACTGGCTGCAGCATGACAAATTTTCCAGGCTGGGTTATGTTTTTTTTTGTTTTTGTTTTTGGAAGTAATGCACTGCGTAATGTATGCTAATTTCCTATGCAGACAGTGTGTCTCTAGAAGGAGGGCTACCGGTTTTTGCAGCCCTATGAATTCTGGTAACTCATTGCAAGAGGAAAATTCATTATTGGGATCAATATCATTCTGCTTATTAAAGAAATATAATGCTCATAGCTGCTGCTTGTTTAATTTCCTCTGTTTACTCCTGGCCTGAGCGTTGTTTGTTCGGTGAAAACACCCGTGGCTCTTACCTGCCAGCTGCAAGTACGGGTAAAACTTGATTTTTACATGAACTGTATGAGTGGAATTGCATTTAAAATAAGATGGTTATTATGGAATTTAGACCAATTGCTCCTGAAAGAATTGGTGTAACTGAGTCAAGTCCACTAGCTCAGACACATGCTTTATGGTCAGTTTGGATTTGTTTTTTAATAATAGTTTAGTTGTATTTTATTGTGACTATTTGTCTTATCTAGAAAGTTTTAATTAGTCCTTAAAGTCTGTTTGATAGTTTTTGTCAGTAAAACATTGTTTCGTTTCAGTTTAGCTTTTATTATTTATTCTTGTAGTTTGAGTTTCTTTTTATACTTCGGTTCATTTTCAGGTGCAGAATTCAAAAAGGTCGAAGCATCGTTTTGTGATCGTGTTTTGTAGTGTTCAGCTGTCGTCTTGATTTTTCCAGAAAATCTCATTTGTGAAGTGCACCAGTTCCTCCTGCACCAAAGCACAAGGTGGAAACTGGTCAGAAGGTGCTGTACGGACGACCCGGGTCCAGCAGAATGTAGAAAATGAACAGGCTGTAAGCTAGCCGCGCAGCAGCTCAGCTGCACAGCCCTTTAAGTCCATCTGAAGGGACTGAATTTGGCTTGAAGTTAACCAGATCCACCCTGTAGCTAAACAAACAAGGCTGCACCACTCAGGCAATAACAAGGAAGGCATTATGAAGGCAAGCAGCCTGTTTAGAAGCTCAAGCATGCAAGCTTGAAGCAGCCCATTAAAACTAAAAACGACAAGAGCGTCCAGTGAAGCAGGGAGGGTACGGCATTAATGCCCTGACCATTTGTTCAAGACGGCAACAAGACGTTTGTTCTGGTTACTCTGCAGAACCGCGGCAGTCCCTCAAAGATCTGCTTCAGAGGAGATTAGAAAGTATTCCCCCTTTAACGAGTGCTGACACTTGGGGAATTATCTAGAGAGCACCAGAGTTTTGACAAGGTTTTAAAAAGCTTCCTCAAAACACAGAGTTCCACCGGCTCACAGGTAGCCAGCTGAATCTAATTCACAGCAGTCGCCCTCAAGAAAACAAACAGAACAATCCTTTTCCTTCTAAACCCCGGGTTTCTCAGAATGTGTAAAATTCTCCAGTCGGACGCGCTCCACCCGTACAGCACTGTTTTCCGTCTTGAATGAGACGACTCATCTGTGACGCCACCGAGGACACACATGAGTTCACGCGTGCAAAAACTCCCAAAACACCCAAACAGGAAAATGATCATCAATCAGACCTGCTTCACGCAACCCAAGCTACTGTCGTCGTAAAAAGGAGTCCTTAATATTTTCATAAAACTTTGAAATGACCAACAGGCTCAGGAACGCCAGCTTTGTAATTCATCCAGAACGAAAGCAACAGGAAACAGGCATATTTCAGATTCTAAGCAAATTGAACAACAAACATCTCTAGTGTGTTTTGAATGCGTTGCACAGTCGCTTTAACTCAAATGATGCGCGTTTAAGTTTGCATGTTTAGATTCTGACCTGCAGAGAGAATTAAATTGGCCCACCTGATGAGGATTTGGTTTAGCAACTCTCCCAGACGATGCTCTGCTGCCATCTGTGTTCTTTACGCATTGCAGACAAAAATGCATTTGCATTACGTTTTTTTATTTTTATTTTTATTATTAGTCTTGATCTACAAGTATAAAAATATTTGTATGTGGAGTTCCTCAAGGCTTTGTTGTCGGGTCACTTTTATTTAGGCATGGGGCGGCTGCCAAAATTAAGATTTGCACAAGTAAACAAATAAAATAAAATAAAATACATTTAAAAAAAAACTGAGTCGGAAATTGGCAAAAATGTTCTGATAAATTGTTTCTGTCAGCCACAGTATATTGGCTGAAAGAAGGCAGAGTCTTTTCCCTTAAAAACAGCCATCGTTGTTATCAATAACTGTAATGATCAACATGCTGCATTATTTTAGCTGAAGTAGAACCGATTTGCTTTTCTGTTTTAAATAAAATACATCTTTTAGCTTTTACTTTGTTGTACTTCACGTTGTGTTTGCAAAGTTGTGGTGTTTTACCTGAGAGAGTGACTCAGGCCATTTTGCAACACCTTATTAAAACCATCCTGTCTGGGATACAAAGTGCATCTGGCCATTTACATCCATAAATACACATATTGATCAAAGGTCCTCAAGACTCTCGGGTCACTTTCTATTTCATATCCACAAGGTTCCTCAAACTCCATCAGATTACAGCATCTTATCCCATATGCTGATGACACAACTTTCTACTTGCCAGTGTGTCACAGTGTCTGACTTAGTGCATCTGTGATATCAGCGGGTCCATCAGGCGTAATGTTATACAGAAGTCATTGTTATTGCTTCACTAACCTAAGAGCATCTTAAAACTAGAATAAAAGGTATTCTTTTTTTTTGGGATTTTGCTAATCCCCCCCCCCTGCATTTTGAATTTTATTTTATTTTCGGGTGCATTAGAAATTGCTTTGTGCATAATTGACGTCAGAACAAACTTGCCCATATCATATACTATAGCCTCTATTACAAATAAGCACTGTTCAGACAGTATTGAAATGTTATATTTTACATTCCACATGCATTTCATTGTATTTTACCTACCTCCGTGTCTTGCTCCAGAGTCAATTATTGGCGTGCCGCCAGCACACAGCGATATAAAGGGGGAAATATGTTAAATAATCCGCTCTGTGCCTAATATTTAGGCAGTTTCAGGCTGGAGGAACCAGTTAATATTGGCTATCCGTCAGAAATAGACAGTAAACATCACCGGTATCAACGCCAAAAAACATAACAAAGCTCTTCTGTCGCTGGCAGCAACCTAGCCTAAAAATATTAGAAAATATTTAACCGTCTTTAGCTGTCTGCCCGACCCCCCCGAACCTCCCAAAAATATACCGCCCGTCTTCCCTTTTTAGTAGCTACAAAATATAAAATAAGAACCGCTGCTTCCTGAGCTCGTCTGGGCTCATCGGACGCTCTGGGCTGACATCGCAAACGCGTCGACATGGAGAAAAAAAAAACGCGAGTGACGTCCAATCAGCGGCGAGTTCTTTCCCTCGAGCCAATCACGACGCGGGCGCAACGAGGAGGAGCAGGTGCTTCCACCAATGAGAGGTGCCTCTGGCGTCACACAACGGACGCAGGTTGACTCGGCTAGCAGGCTCTCCTCTCGGCAGCTATGAAGAATATACTGTACTACCTCCGGTTGTGAGCGTTGTTACATCATTTTGGGAGCCGTGGTTTGTGCGGACCCCGGCTAAAAATAGCGAATGTGGCGTCACTGTGTTAAAGTTAAATTCGTAATGAAAAAAAAGGCTCCTTTTCCCCTCTTGCACTGCTGAAAATAAGTATTGTCCACCTAAAATATCATGTCACTGTTTGCTCTGAGGATTTCTCACATCCTCAAACTATTTGATAAACTGCCAGATAAAAATAATTCATGTAAATATATTTTTTTAAAGTTTTGAAATAATAATTTTTCAGCTATGAAGCAAAAATAATCCAATCTAATCCTATGTAAAAAAAAAAAAAAAGTAACTGTCTGCTTTGTTAAATCAGGTATTGACATTTGATTGACCTACATGTGTTTTTCGTTGACCTTTTATCAGCCATAACCTGGCCTAATTAATGCCGGATCTGCAGAATGAAGAAATTACTTAAATAGAAAATATCTGACAACTTGTGAAGCAGGCTAAGAAGGCAACACGTTTTATCTGAAGCTAAAGATCTAGACGTCTGGAAAAAGTTTCAAAGACGTTTTCTGAGGTTTGGGACTCGAGTCAACAACAGTGAGAGTCATCAACCACAAATGGGGGAAATGTGGCACGGTTGTGAACCTTCCCACCACAGACCAGCCTACCTAAATTAAAGCAAGATTGCGTCGACTACTCACCCAGTTAGTCAAAAAGACAAACAAACAAAAAAACACCTAAAGTCCCGCGGGCCTCGTTTGCTTCAGGTCACATCTGTGTTTTTTTGATTTCAACACTAAATACAAAAAGTGATTTGGAAAAAAAAATGACAGGCATGTGAGGAAAAGCAACACGCAGGCCAAGAAAATATCTGATAATTTCTTGACAAAACATCCTGTGGACTTGGTTTGGGGCTTAATAGAAAAACAAATAACAGTTTGGGTAGCTTTTTTTTCCACAAAATCAATTAAATTGCAGTTGGAAAGCTTGCTTTCTGATTCTAGAATCCGTTTGATATATGAATAAAATATGAGTATTTTTTTTTCACGGCACTGCAAATGACACAGCAAATTAAGATTAGGAATTGATTATACATGTATGACTACTACCGCCGACTGTGATGCAAAGAGTAAGGCCGTTAACACCCGATGGAGGTTTTGTGTACATTAACCTGAGCAGTAAAACCATAAACCATGATAAGAACCCAAGACTTTCATGATGAGAAAACTTTCTGAGAACTCCAACACTTCTGACTACAAACGCGTTCATTGTTTTAAACGAGGTAATAAAAATTAGGCCTTCAGTTTAAATCAAAGTGCAAAGCAGAAATCCAGAAGGAAACCAGCCTATTTCCTCTACAGGTCCAATGGGAGCGCAGCCACTGTATCAGGACTGTTTTCAATGTTTCCTTGTAACAAAAAAACCAAACAAACAAAAAAAACATGCCAAAAGTCCTTAGGACAGACGTGTACGGAGCAAAAAAAAAAAAGATGGACCTGATTACTCCTGGGAATCACAAATAAACACAGACGTATCACCGACAACCCAGTTCTGTTGACCCAAACAAAGCACACAGCAGTTAAGAGTGGACGTTAACATTTTCCTGTCATAAAGCTCCTTATTTGGACGGCTCCTCTCTGCCTTTTACCGTCAGGGCTGTGAGGTCGCCGGGCAGAGGGAAAGTGGGTGTTTCCCTGCCAGCATGTCTGGGTGTGGTGAGCGACAGACAAGGCTGTTTTTATGTTTCTCATATCAATGGGGCCCACTGAGCTGTGGCACTACACCTATATTTAGATTCGGCACTTTCTGGCCTGCAGCCCATGCTGCGTAAAGTTCAGGTTCAAACGGATTCAAGACACTGAATTAAATTAGGGTCAGACTAAAAGGTGGTCATTAAATTTGTTAGTAATTACCAATTCCCTTTGCATTTATTGATCATCTATATATATATTTATATATATATTTTTTTCTTACACATTTATTTTACCTGGAATGTCCTGCTGAGATCCACAATACCAAAGATTTGGAGGGAAAAGTTATTTTAATTCTTTAACGCTACATGCTTGAGGATGAGATGGATGGCTAATAGCATCATTCTAGCAAAGTCTTTGGCATAAACAGTCCCACTTATCTGTCTTTTTGCAAATTATAAAATACTCACCCGAAGGATTTATGCAAGGACAGATAAGGATAATCTCAGCTAATTTAAAATAACATTAAAAAAAGAGAAGTAGGAGATGGGACCAAAGACAGTTCCTTGAGGAACACCTGAAGATATTTAAAGCTTTTTGGATTCAAATAAATTGAAGCCCTGAAAAATGAAATAGTTTTGGATATAATCTCATCTGTCTACTTCTCCTTTTCTACCCTCTCAGCAGTTTGTTATTTTAACTCTGCTTTGTCCCTTAAGAATTATGAAATCTACTAAAGTAAGGGCTCACTTCCTGAAAATGATCACGCTTTCATGATGTCAGTTTTTTGTTCTACTTTTGTCTGTATGTTAAGAAACGACTTGGAAAAATGATATAAATTCAGAGGATATAAAACAAAATGTGAACCTGTTATCACTGCAGAGTTTTTGTGATATAAAAAACTACAATTTTAGGTCATTTTCCAATGTTTCCACCTCAGTAGTCTGGTTACAAGCATTTTTAAACTGAAACTTTGTTGAAGTGAATTTTGATTCAAACACAGCAGTTAGTTATTGGATGGACAATTTGTTGAATGTGACTCCTGGATTTAGGTAAATGTACCATCTCAGCAGATATAAATCTTTATTTTTTTTTTGTACATCCATCCTCTGGTGACCAAATACTTTAATTCCATTGTTTTTCATGGATTTGAATGTACAGCCCTAACCAGATATTTACTTACACTTGATAAAAAAAGATATTCAACCTTTTTATTCTTACAGTTTGTCATGAACATTTTCCTAACTTAGGTCAAAACCAAAATTCTTGTAAATGCAGTGATACTTATTTTTTTTAAAAAAAGGGCTTAAAAATGTAAAAATTAACTTTCACTCCATATTGTGATCTGGCTTTTCCGTCTCTGAGCGGCACATCTTAGTGTAGAACTAATTTCACAGTGGATTAATGACACTTCCACGAGCTTCGGCCAGGTTATTTAAACGTTTGGTTTAATTCTGGCCGCCCATCCCAAATGCAGCTTACGCTTGAACACAACGGAACAGATGAACGGAGCACCTCCAGACATTTGAAAATCAAACAAGAATGAGCCACAATAGTGGAGCTCAACAGTTCTCTTCCTGATGTCTTGATTTTTTTAAGGGAAGAAGGCGTTCCCTTAAAATATATTTACAGAAGTGCCTCCTGGTGTTCAAATGGTGCAAATTTCCCTAAACTGCTATGACTACTACAATGCATAATCTTAACTGTATTTATTTTGTGACCTCAGGCACCACAGATGATTTAAACTTAAAGGTATCACAGTAAGGTGTTGCTCACTTTCTTAAAGAAAAGCTGCATCACTAAATCCTGACATTTTCACATAGGTGTGTACGTTTATTTTGTCTTTTTTGGCCATTTCTTTATAATGAAAGATGTTAGATCTGATACTAAAGGCAAGCCGTCTCTTAAATTCAAGGTGTGTCCACGCATTGCATGCAGATTTCAACATATGAAGCCATTAAACATGCTTTCAAGCAGTGACGTTTATCGTTGCACAGAAGTGAATCCATCATTCATTTGGAAAAGACGAAAGAAAAATGTGACGCTATACAGATCTGATCCATGAAATATTCATGAGATTAAATAAAGTATTGACTTTAACGGAAATGCTGCTCTGCATTTTTAATCACATATTTACATTGTAACTTTTTTCAAAGCAGACTGAAGTATTTACATTTGTCAAAAAGCAGAATATTGTCAAACAAAACAACAAATTAGATGTACAACATAGAATCTACATGTATAACACAGCGGACGTGTTGCTGGGGTCCGAATAAACAGCTTTTTTTTTTTTATTTATGCCAGCCAAAAAAATAAATAAAAAAATGCAATTCAGAAATGACTTCAATTATTTGATTTCAAAATAATGCTTTTAACTTTAAACTATATTGGAGAATCTAGTGTTGTTCATCCCAGACACACGGTTCGGCAGTGGAGAGTTCTTTACATTTTTGAAAAAATAAACATCCGCCATGTGGGATAAAACAAAACAAAAAAAACCCCGAAAGTGTCCGTTGGTGACAGGAAGTGATGTCAGGACTCGGCCGGTGAAGGCTGGCTGAGCGCGCCGTTGCGGGTGCGCAGCTGCGACTGGGCGATGTCGGCCAGAGCATTCTGGATCTTCTCCAGCAGCATGTCGCCGCGGTACACCACCTCCTCCAGACGGGCCGCCGCGTCGTGGTTCTCCTCCTCCAGCTGACGGAGGCTGGCCGCCTGGCAACAGGTGACAGAGCTGCACAGTCAATCGCTGCATCAGATTTTAAGAGTTAAGGATCTAAACTTGTGTTTTTATGGGAGTTATGTCATAATGATGAAGTGGAAGTAGAAATGATGCATTGTTTTTTTCTTTTTTGTTTGTTTGTACTGTTATCTAATTTGTTGTTTGTAATTTTGGAGATCAATACCTCTGTTTAATAGTCTGTAATGTTTGTTTTGTATGCATTAATTGGTGAATTAATTTTTTAAAAATCTGGGAAACTTACTCCAAATTTTTGGATATGTCTGTCTTAGCTGGATTTTGACCTGGACTTTGACTGGGCCATTTCAGCACATGATGATCCAGCTCAGTCTGTCGCAGCCTTGGTTGCTCTTACAATGACAAACAGCGCTTCTTAGAGTTGGTTTTATTAAGAGCTATCTGATTAAAGGTTTTGAATAAAGATGCATGCCACACTTTTCAGATTTCTACTGGTAATAATTTTGAAATTTAAAAAATAAATAAATAAATTTACATCGTTTTCCTTCCATTTCACAATTATGCTCTTACTTTTTGTCAATTTGTGACATAAAATCGAATTATTATTTTTCGAATTATTATTCAAGGAGGCGGTTTAAAGCATTTTGGGAAACAGTCATAACATAAATCTCTATTTTACATATTAAAGCCCTTTGCTGGTGAAGGCTTCCATCAGGACACATAAGCAGAGCTCCAGCATACTTACAGCATGATCCCAACTTGATTCTTTTAGCCATCTTAGTAGTCATTCCATAAATATATCAAGCACACGCTCACATGACTTGCATTATTTTTACCCAGTGACCCCAGAAGGCTCAGGCATGAGGTTGGGTCTCATGTATCCTTGGGCTTCCAGACAAGGGAGCTACGTGCTAGCAGCAAGGCTAATTCCATCCACAAACAGCCAAAACAGAGGCTGACAAAGAGCAGCCGTACAACCAGGAAGTGGCATAGTCATATACAAATTATGCAGAGAGTGATTGTTGCACAGAGTGACCTCGTATCAAAAAGTTTACTCTGCGAGAGAAAAAAAACTAACATTTCACTGGATCCAATTCCACACGAATTCTTTTTCTCAACTGTCTGGCAACAACTTAGTGATGAAAATGTTTAGATTTCAAAAGGGAGGTAGAAAAACTCAAAGTAGCGATCAGATAAGAACAGCATAGCATCAGCGATACTCTGACGAACAACAGTCAACATGCTGAACATTGACTGCATGAATACTTCTGATGCATTTTCAAATTGAAAACATTTAGAAGAAAAACTGGTTTGTAGATGAGAACAAACTATTTCCCTCCCAGATTCTGGAAACCAAACCAGATGTCTCCCTCTGCTGGATGAAAGCTGGAAATCCCCACAAGATTTAATGGGATCCACGATTAGTTATAACTAGTTAGTTAATCCATTTCCTGGAGATACAGAGACTCGCGCTGGACAGAATGAGTAGCATGCGAAGGCCTACTTAAAGCGTTATTGTGAGCGAACTCTTCTGACCTGCAGGGCCGCCGTAGACTCCTCGCTGGGAAGAGAGTCGATCAGAACGTCCACGTCTTTGGCTGTCCTCGCTATCAGAGCTGCAAACAGTTGAGCGTATTCTGGAACAAAGAGACAGAGAGGAAAACGAGGACGTCAACTCCATTATTTTATGCTCCATTGTCAAAATAAACTATCAAAGATTTACTTTTGAACAAAACAAAAAAAGAAGTTGTGGAATGAAGAGTCTCAGTGTCTTCCAATCCAAACCAAAAAATAGAATGTGGGTGTCTTCTCACCTCACCTTCTCCCCTTCACAATAAGAGTATTTTATGAAGGGTGTGAAATTTATGCATTGTATTCGCCACAAAGTCATTTTTAAGAGATGCACCGACTGCAGTTTTCCGGACAATAGCCGATTTTTAACATTTCTGATAAGCTGTTTACAATTTTTTTTTCCATCTGAAAATTCGCCAAACATAGCGAAAAAGGGACCAAGCTAGTGGCAGCACATATACGTTAAAGATATCTGTGGGACAGAAGTATTATCCTGCGCTCAGCAGAGCCAAGCCAGCACCTTGTCATTCACAAATCCAGTCTGCAGTGAAGCAAAAAGCTGGAGAGGAAGGTTTTGGATCAAAGCGAATGGATGTGTCAGAACGGCCTAGTCAAAGTCCAAGTCAGACCTGAAAACTTGTGTTCACAGATGTCCTCAAATCAAACTGGTTGAATTTGAGCTACCAAATATGTGAATGTGGAAGAAACATGCCGCACCTTTTAGATTTGTTTATGTTGGCTTTCGTGAAGTAAAAAGTAGGAAACCTCACTTCCTTTAGCTTCATATTTAAAGCACTATTCTATGTTAGTTTATGCTTGTGGGGCTGTAATGAACATGTACTGAGCCAACCTTCAGTGGGGTTTGCAGGCTGATCCTTGTTGATGGCCGTCTGGATGTTACTGAAAGAGGCAGGTGGAGCACATTGCTGCAGAACGCCGATGGCGTTACAGAACTGATCAGCGAGCTGCAGCACAAACACAATCAATACAGAAATTGATTAGATTGTCATTCAATACGGACGCTGCAGTCCACCAACAACTCAGCGCAACCTGGCTTCAAAGGAGTCTAAGTAGAGCTTCTAACACGATATGCTATTCAAATGTGCCAAGCATGTAAAGAAGAATATATTTTTCTTAGTAAATTACGTATAAACCATAGACTCGTGCATCTAGTGGTTAGCTGTGGTAGCTAGATAGCTTGAAAAGTCATGTATACTGTAGTTTTGGAGGAATTACTATTTGCTGTTACTGCTTATTTAATCAGAGCTATTAAGTTCTCGTCACATACGCACAAAACATAATGTCCGCTTTCTATACTTTCTGTAAAAAGAGAGAGTTTTGCGAACCGAATTGACTGCGTCTTGAAGTTGCGTTAGCCGATCCGCCATCTTTTCCGTCTCTACAGGAAATCGGGTCCTCTCTCGCGAGAGCGTGAGCGCGAACTCTCGCGGAAGTCGACGGGGCTGTTTCGGAAGAGTTCAGTGTGTACCTGAAAGCGGCTTCTTGACGCGTCGCAGGACTGACAACGGAGCTAACGTGTGAATGTTTCTGTCTGCTTCCATTGTTGTACGTGTTCGACGGAAACGGACCCACAGCAGAACTTCAGCCGGCGACCAATTTTAGCGTGTAGCTAATGACAACCACCAAACGTCAACAGGAAGTAAAGAGGCTAGCTAACACTAGCGTCTACTTGCACTTTGAGCTCTTTAGGTGTGACTTTCATATTTTACATATTTCCTCTTGTTTAAAATTAGCACTGAACAGTAAAAAACAGGGGCCGCTGTCAAATATTTATTATTAATTGTTCAGTGTATCATAATCCACTGCTAGATGGTATTAGTTTAGTTAGCATACCTAGCAACTGTCAGCTAAAGTCAGAAAATGAGGAGGTAGTTAAAATAAGCTAAGAACAGCAGTTTGTGTCTTTGTGAAAATATGCTGACTTGTCTTGTGTGTTAATATAAAACAACAGGTTGATCTTTATAAATTGAAATACTACAAATAGATTCAAATTTGATCATAGAAATATTGATTTCAGTACTTCAATTCAAAAAAGTGAAACTCGTATAAACCCATTAGACACTGTAAAATTATTTCAGATTAGTTTCATGATTGTGGCTTACAGCTAGTGACAACGCAAAGTTGAGCTTGTTACAAAGTTGAAATGATCTTATGAGCTGCAACTGTTATCTCTGAGATAGATACATGAGTATATATCTGTAATATTTTCACAACATTAATTATATTTTTATGTGCTGTACCTGCACTTTTTATTGTGTTTCTAGAATCTGATGCCATCTTTCTTTATTGGATCTTATAGTTCATCAATTAGAGACAGTTTTAGTAAACAACCTATAATGTTTCTTTTCCAAGGACAGTGTGAGTTTTGAACATGTCAATTATTGTTATTTTTATCTATTGTTAATTATCCTTACTAATTAACTTTAGAGTGATCGCTTCGGATTTTCTCTGAATTTGCCCTGACTGTGACTCGTCTCTCCTCAGGTATGAACTGTTCTTTAGAGAAGGTTCTGGCAGATGCCAAGTCCTTAGTAGAAAGACTCCGTAACCACGACAACGCCGCAGAGATGCTCATCGAACAAACAACCTCCCTCAACAAGCGGGTGGAGGCCATGAAGCAGGTAAGGGATGAGTGTGTTGCTGGCTGATTGTGAACAGAGGTTATTCACGCGGTTAGCGACCGAAAGCACTTCATTCATGACAGGGTCCTGTCAGAAAGGCGGCCTAACTCCGTGACTTTTATCTAATATTCTCATAAAACAAGCTGGTCTTAAACTAGCTGCCACCGGAGGGGCAGTGTTCTCCCAGAAAGCTGGAGCATTTTTTTATGTAAACGCATTCTCCAGCACAAAATGGGTCTGTGAACATTGTTTTACATAGGAAATGCTGAAAGAGAAAGTCATGATTAAAAAAAAGACTGGAAAAGTACGGCTTAAAAGATTAATCTTCACTAATCAGTTAGGAAAATAATTGTCAACTGATTTACTAATCTAATTAAATAATTGTTAAGGTAGCTATACAAACAACAAAAAAGACTATTAGCTGAAAAAACAACATATTAAGAACTGCAATTAAGCCAAAACTGTATATGAACAGTTTTGACTTAATTTTGCAAATAAGATAAAAACCTTCATCTGTAAATATGTGTCACCCGAAACTCCTCAGTGGCATAGTTTCAGCTTCACTGTGGTGAAGTTCACTAAAGCAATGCGAAAGTATTGAATATTCTTACTTAAAAAGGAATTGAATTATCTGTTTTTTATATATATTTTAATGTATTTCCAGTATTGTGTAAAAAAATAAATAAATACTTGAGTGGTTAACTGGAAATTCTGGTGAATGTGCCATTCCCCTCCCTGCACCCACATAATGGTTAGCTGCTGCGCTGTATGAAAAGTTGATGATGTGTGATCTCCTGTTGCCAGTACCAGGAGGAGATCGATTCTCTTAATCAGGTTGCACGACATCGACCTCGCTCCAGTCTGGTCCTTGGAATCCAGCAGGAAAACCGTCAGATCAGGGAACTCCAACAGGAAAACAAAGGTAAAAACACTTCTGGATGCACGCTCCTTCGGTCCTACAGTGGCGGCTTGTTGACTCATTCCATAAGAGAAGGGACCGAGCTTGTGTCCTCTCCTCCTGCAGAGCTTCGAACGTCGTTGGAGGAGCACCAGTCTGCACTGGAGCTCATCATGACCAAATACAGGGAGCAGGTGTTCAGGCTTCTCATGGCCAGCAAGAGGGAGGACCCTGCCATCGTCACCCAGCTGAAAGAGCAGCACACCACGGTCCGCACACCCGCTTAGAGCTGAGCTGCTGATGAGAAACAGCAGCTCAGCGCAGCCATACGTAAAACGTATGGAACTTAAATGTCCTTCTGCTCTTTCCAGGAAATGCAAGCGCACATAGACAAAATAAATGAGATGGCCTCTGTGATGAGGAAGGCGATAGAGGTGGATGAGAACCGGGTTTGTGAAGATGAAGAGAGGATCAAACAGCTTGAGGTAACGCTGGACACTTTCAGAAATTCGTAGTTTTACAAAAGTTTTATTCTAGAGTTACATACGAGTATCTAAAATTAAAGCCTTAAAATGTCTTAAGTTCTGCTAATCGCAGGTCTTAAATGTTGTTGCAGCTAGAGAACAGCGGACTCCGAGAGCTGCTGGGAATCAGTCGCGAGGCTTTCCTCGTCCTAAAGAGAGACGAGGCCTCAGAGAACACGTCGCTGTCTCCGCTGTTGACCAGCACCGACGTCAGCCTTCGGAAGAGCTAGAGCCCCGTCCCTTTACGGGCTGCCGCCGATTCACCCACAGACTCCCCAAGGCGAAGACTCCTGCCGCATGTCGCCACCGGAGCCCCGTCTCTGTCTGCTGTCGCTGTAATGTTTTGCTTTCTTGTGTCAGTGTGGAGCCTGCGTCGTTTTAGAGTATGAATGATTGACAGAGTGATATAAATAAATGCACAGTGGTCAAACCTTGTGAGGCCATGTTGATTTAATGTAACATCTAAACTATCATACTACGTATTCCCATGTTTTTACTTCTGTTTTGGTTTCGGTGGTTGTGTATGTATACGCAACTTCTTACTTTCACAACTCTCCTGTTATTGTTGTCAACGGGTTTAAGTTCAGAAGTAAAACTTTATCTGCTCAAAACACTGCCGGGAGTAGGAGCAGAAGTTCTCAGGTTCTTTTATTTAAGAGGGGGAAAAAAGAACAAAAAAACTACAATGTAAATATTAGCCTTTTATAGCTACAAAATAAATTAGCCTAAAAATAAGGTGAGTTACTTGAAATATGTTTATTCACAGTACTTTACATTGTTTGTTTTACAAATAAAAATCTGAGAAGAATGGTGTGAATTTACTCTGATAACTCCGAGTGAAATTTGGTCCCTCTAGCTGGTTCCAAAATGTTGAAAGGTGTAGAGAGAATATCGGACTTGAAGTGGCACGGTTTGATCCCGTTAATTATTTTGAGTTTTTCATTTAAATTTTCGTTTTTTTACTCATTGTTTAATTATGTTTGTTTTGTTTTGTTTTTGTTTTTTATAAAAAAAAAATTTATATATATATATATATATATATATATATATATATATATATATATATATATATATATATATATATATATATATATATATATATATATATATAAAAAGAGCGTAAAAAATAGTCCTTTAATATTGAAGTTCACGTCAACTCGAAGTATCGCGGGATTAGAGACGAGATTTCCAAGTCAGAAGGAGCCCGTTGTTGAACCAGCAGAGCCGCAGGGAGCGGAGAGAGGGAAACAAATCGGGGTTTGTTGCAGGGCGCACACCTCAGCTGTCCACCATGTCACTATCGCGGTTGGTGGGACGAAAACACGGACGAGTTCGCGTTTTCCGGTGAGTTTTCAACCACCGGCAGGTCGAAGAGGTTTTTTTTTTTTTACATTATTTTTGTCGGGTTGGTAAACCGGAGGGAAATGTCTCACTGGATGTGGAGTCCGCTGCTGCTCTTCTTCGCGTGTGAAGTACAAGCTCAAGTAGAAAGTGAGTACAGTCACAGCTACGGCGTATTAGTGTGTACTTTGCTTTAAAAAAAATCTGATTGTCTGTATAAAACTGCTGAATTCATTGCGGTTTTTCCTGTTAAGCTAGCAGGACAAGTAATTCAGCTCGTGCAGAAAAGCAGCTGCACCTTAGCTAGCTAAAAAAACGACATATTTAGTCCACTAACCTCACTTATAAGAAAGAGGTCGATTCAAAGTTAATTATTAAAGTGGCACGCGCCTGATGTCAGTGGAGTAAAAATGAAGGAAAGTCAATAAAATGCACCAAACCACCGTCCTGGTAAAGTAGTTTTAAGTTCATATAATTGCACTTAAAAGGAAATTGGAGGCCACAGCAGGTGAAAACTTTACGTTTAACTTTGTTAAACTAGATGTTTTACGTAATAATGCATTTTTTAAAAGTCAAGTTACTCGATCATATAAATAAATATTGGCATTGAGATTGGCTTCCTTCAGCTCATTCCTTCCAACCAGGCTGAGGAATGAAAACATCCATAGTTAACCGATTATTCTTCCTGATTTGTGGGGGAAAAACATCTTGGGAGGTAATGGAAGTTGATGATCAGATGATGCACTTGATTAATCCTGGTGTATCTGAGGCTTGGCCTGATAAAAATATATTTGTACTCATTATTAAAGAAAATCTTTCATCAAATCTTGCCCATTAGAGAGCATTCAGGCTTGCACAGACTGAAAGGATTTTTGATTTTCTTGGAAATTGTCAAAGAGAAGAAATGTGAGCATCTTGTTGCACATGACAGCTTGAATTTCTTTGAGATAAGAAGTAATTTTGAATTAAAAACAGTTGTCTAATCCCAATCTGTGGGGATTTGTAGTTAAAAAAC